TCCGCATAGGAGCCCATATGCCGATATAGGTCGAACAATTCGATCCAACAAAAACAACGGAGAATAACAAGTATGTGAATGAATAGTAAGAAATACTCTGACAACTTAATGTATATTTAAAGGTGAACTTGTTATGTATAATATCTGATGAAACATGCATGCATATCAATGCTAAATAATCGATAAGCATAATTTGGACGTTTCTATCATTAAACTAATCATCATTTGAGTGCTATTTATTAAGAAGGAGTGTTTCTCAGATATTTACTGTTTTCTATAGGATTTTAGAAATGCTTCATAAAGTTCACACGGTTTAACGAAATTGTTACACGATACTACGTAGTACAAAAGATGATGAACCATAGTAGTTTTTATTCATCTACACAATAGTAAAATGGATCTGATGCATAGCGTATTTTTGGAGTTTGAGAATTTTTGCATAAAATGTTGCAGCTGTTTTTAGCTAACTAGTACTATGTAGATGTTTCTCTGCATAGTACTTATATAGCATAATATCAGTGAATGAGGCAAAGTATTTGGTCTCTTGTGGTGAAATTACCCTATCAGTGGTGCCTGGATCATGCAGAAGGTACTGGGTTAGGAAGGCAGGTCAGTTGATGAGGTTGTCAGCTTTGACGTGTGCTGTGTATACCCAGCCACCACCTACCTCGATATGTGATGCTAGCACAAGTTAGATTAGGTTGGAAGAATGCTCAGGGCGACCAGATCAAGAAATGACATTAGTCCATAAAGTCTCTAACTGTTAGTCTGAGCCGTGTAGGGAGGTGCAGACTATCTAGCTGAGATCCTGGAGACGAGAGAAAACTGTGGTTTAGGACTCTTAGTGAAATGGGTGAAAATTGGCTGTAATGGCACAAATTTATTCACTCTTTGACGTCTTCCAAAGCTTGTAGACTTCCACGAACCTCGATTTTCAAAATATTTTCCCTCCCATTTACCTTCTACCCACTTTGATAACACTTTCTGCCCAGTTATTGTTTGCATACTGCTATAAAGTGTGGTAAATGTGCTGACTGCTTCATTTTTCTGATATCTTAATTTCGTTTCTATGACATGCCAAGTAACTCTTGTCTTCCACAGCTTACTGGCAGTCTTGGTATTCGTATAATGGTTTTTCAAATTTATACGGAACTTTTCAGAATTACTACAGTAGAGTAAGGATTTTATTCCCTTACTGCAATGTTGAACGGGAGAAGCTTGCGGACACTAAATAATACTTAGAAATATTTAGAGACAGATCTACCAATCTAGGCATTACTCATGTTTATCAGTGATTAACCGTTTTCTGCCCGAAATGAATTCAGCTGTGTCTAGAATGGTGTGGTTAGTGGAGTCAGTGCCAGGAAAAATTGACATTCACTTACCAGCCACCTTCACGACAGTCTGGGGAAACTCCTAATTACAAAGAGGAAATTCAGACCAGCTCAGCATCTGTACCTCGAAATTTAGTCAGCAAAATGTTTAGTCGACAATTCAAACACCGACTACTTCAATTCTCCAATGATTTAGGCACTTGCATCAACTTTATTCACAACTTGGTTATTTAATACGAGTGTGTTATTGCAAAGCTATCTTAACTAAATGCATCAATAGTCGAACGAGTATTGATGAAACAGTGTACAAAGCGAACTTTTAAATTATTGTTACTATTATTACTATTACTATTTGTCCCTTGGTTTCCCAGTGGAACATAGAAATTCAATAGCACACCTCCATTGCACTCTCTTCTCTACAGTCTTTTCAACATGGCTCCACCACTACCCATAAACTTCCATCTCTTACTCACATGATCTCCTCCATATCACCCTCACCTCGGATGCCCAACTCGTCGTTTCCCACTAGAATGTCTGGTCTGACGCGTGATGTCCACAATCGGCCTTCTCAGTGTATGCCCAATCCAATCCATCTCCACTCTCTTCCTATGCATATTTGTTGGGTAATGGGTACTTCGTTAGTTCGTTGCCAGCTAGCAGAGCTCCTTGTTGCTTATTCTTTCTCGCCTTCTCATCTCATCTTCAGTATCGAGTGAGAGAGCGTAGACGGCAGCTGTTGATGATAGATTCAAATCCGCATTATTCAGTCCGTCTCTGGAAGATGTTACCACTGAGCTATTTGGACCACGACTAAACTTAATAAATATTTGTATATACTGATAAGGGAACCGGGTTAAACTGTGATCTACCAAACGTTTTCCACCGAATATCTTTCATCAAATTGTTCCCCTTCAATTTGTTTCACTCTTTTAAATATTTCTCCCAAACGTATTGCATATTTCCACACATTTTTGAAATGTTTTCAATCAACCGTTTCTCACATTAACAACAAAACTAAGTAAAATACGTTATACTGAATGCGAATGAACTTTTCAATGCACAGAAATACACCACATTATTATTACTAGGATCCTTGTACTGATTGGATGAACCACTAACAACAAACTTAAGCTTAACTTTTTATTTATTCCCTGTTACAGAACAGATGTTAGTTAATCTAACATCAGCTGGTAATTTAACATTATTACCTTTAATACTATTACTATTAACATCTTTCAGATGTAATAATCATTTTGTTTAAATATCAATTTATTGACAAGGGAGCTGACTGGATGCCCATCACATTCTTTATCAGTGTATAAGTCATCATAATATTTAAAGATCTAAAAACAGAAGTCAGTCTTATTACAATCTCTAATTCATATTCCATTTTCGAAATATATTTGACTCAGACTTATTCTGTATTTATGCTAAGCAATTGGATTTCATGATTGTAGACCATGATGACGTTCTATTAAATAGGAGATTCTTCATTCTTAGTGTCTTGTAACTACTGATATATTAATCTATGAAAGTTTAAAAGTTTAAGTGTTAGTCAGAATGATCTTTGGAACTAAGCTACTCTATTTTGAATTGGATATTAATAATGGAAAGTGACTGGCAGTGGAATCCAGGATGCTCGTTTCGTTCTTTATGGGACTAGTCAGTTGGATGGGCATGTCTTGCAGTGTGTGCTGTCTTCCAGTGTTGTTGTTGGATTGTTCTTGGGTTTCATTCTTACTGGGGACAACATTACTCACTGAGAGATAAGTATATCCAGTTGACAAGTTTCAAATAAAATGAAATGCGAGTCCTGGATTTCAGTGCTGGCCATTATCCAACAATAATATCAAATTTGTAAGTACCGGCAATATTGAGATATCAGTTCAAGAACCCATATGTCAATAGTCTCCGATCATTTCGGTCCAGTCAGCGAGGGAGGTTCAAAATCTATGACATCAAAGGCTATCCTCTTCTTCACTAACTGGTAGGATGATTTTACTGAAATTCAGCTCAAATAGATACTTTGAAATTGCTTATATATTGATAGTGACTGATAAGGGATGAACAAAGCTAGATTGATAAGCAGAAAACAAAGATGACCAGGTTTATCGATGTCACTTGATAGGTACAATAGACATAATAATAATGATAATAATAGTCACCTTGTTTCAAACAATATATTTGATACAGTATAGAACTCTTAGCAGTTAATATTTCAACATAGCTATTCCTAAAGCACTATTTTTAAACGAAATAACTATTGCATCTGAAAAATGTTAATAATAACAGTATTGAAGGCAATAATGCTAAACTGCTAGATGATGTTGGATTAGCATCTGTTCTAGAATGGAGAATGATAAGAGAATTGAGTGTTAGTTTATGGTTGGTGGTTCATTCAACCAATACAAGAATCTGCAGTTTGAGCGAAGTATCCTAGGAACAGAAATATGATTGATGTTTATGCATTTAAAAGTCCATTTCCATCTACTGTGAAGTTTTTTCTTTGTTTTATTGTTAACTTAGAAAGATGGCCGGTTGAAAACATTCAGAAAAATTTTAAATTGTCCATATTTATATCAGATGATATGAGTATGGACAGTAAATTGTATCCGAAACGTTATCCAGTAAATGATGCCGTTTTACTGTGTGTGACGTTTCTAATAAACAGACTAAAACGGAAGTACATGAAAAGTTTGGGATATCTATTGAAGGGATTAGAACAAATCAAAAGAGAATAATTTGATGAAATGCATTCTATGGAAAAATTTTGGTAGCCAATGGTTTAAACATACTGCCATATTGGAGCTTAGTATGAACTATCGAAACTTCATTTTGTTTCAGTACTCTTCTGCAAAATAATTTGAAACAAACAAGGATTATACTAATTTTGCTTGGTTGTGGCCAGCAGAAGAATCCAGGACGTCCGTTTCGTCCTATTATCATAATTATCATAGCTAACATCCAGATAAGATCGAGGGATCCACATAGGAGCCCATGTGCAAATACAGGTCGAACAATTCGATTCAATAAAACAACGGAGAATTACGAGTATATCAATAAAATAGTAATAAACAAGGATTGTTTCCTGATTTTGAGTTGTTCTTCAATATTGTATACCTAACGATACTTCTAAAATGAATTGAGTTCACCAGAGCAAAGAATAGTAGTGCAGCTAAACTAGGTCAGAGTAACTATTCTACCTTGTTCACAGCTTTTGTATACCCACATTGATACCTCAGTGTTTACTTTTTCTGATTGCTTGTCGTATTTTATTTACTGAGTGTAAGAAATGGTGGGTTGCTCAGTTGTTTTGACATAAGAAACAACCGTATTAGTGTTGTAATCTATTCAAACGGATTAGCAATATATTAAGGATGGACAGTGGGATCCATTATTCACGTTTCATCCTGTCTGGAATCCGTCAGCTGGATATACCTGCCTTCTAGTGAATAACTTTTTCCCAGGGGGAGTAGGACTCGGGGCCGATCGCTTCAGATGCCACAGAGTTATATCCACTACATCACCGAATCACACTAGCCACAGGCAACAACAATTAGTAATATACCTCACATTCTCAAATATATTAAAGTATTTCATCGTTTTTTATAATTCGAATTATCTATGTTTATACTTCAGTATTTATTTGGTTGTCTTTGAAATTAGGAGTTGACTGGACGTCCACCGACAAACTATTTACAGCATACACATGCGTATTATGAAGCCCAAGAAGCATCGAAACGGATACATGCAAATGAATTACAAAACAGTAACACTGGTAGCAATGTGAGTAAAACTGATGATTCAAATCAGCAAAAAACCAACAAAGGTAGGTAATTCAATAGTCATTTGAATGAACAAAAAATATTCTTCTGGATAACTTCTTTTTCACTTACTACAGTTAAACTCCCATATTGTGTAATTCTGTATCAAAACCACTGAGATTTTGGCTTTTGTAATACTATAAGGTGACAGATTAATAAAACGATAGGAAGGTGTGTATGAAAGTTGGATACAACCAACCAAGATAGATAATTTCAGTAATAATGGCTTGATAGAATTTTACTTATGTTAGGGAACAAAACAGGTTAGAAGAATGTGATAAACTCATCTCAGATTATAGGGATGCAGAAGTGTCTAAAGTATAACTTTGGGAAATTAGACTACACAGGATGCTAAGGAATTAGTGAGTCTCAAATAGGGTCAAGGTAGTTGCAATGGCAACACCTGCTTCTTTTAAATACACAACTTGGGTTGTTTAATCTCGATTTTGACTGCGTCTGTGGTCTGAAGGAATCGGAGCCCAGTACCTTTTGATTAGTTGATGGGAATCCGGTATAGTATAAAAAAAACTACTTATTTATATCCACCATATGATTCATTTGAACTAAGTGTGCTAATATGGACGTGGCAATTATCTTTACCACACTTTTGTTAAACCACGCTAGGAGACATTCGCATCAGCGTGCATTTGTTAGCTGAGTGTATTTCGAATTCATTTAAAGTTGATCAATGTATGCAGACGAATCAAAGTATGTAAATTAAAAATGGTGTAATTAATACGAAAATAACAAAATACTAATCAACACAATATTTATCTCCATTTTCGTAAATAAATTAGTATTATTAATGATAGATTAAAAGAAGTTGAACAATTACAAAAGAGTAAGCTGTAAATAAAATGAAATTGTTTTTCTGCCTGTGAAAAAAGGTTCCGCTGAATAAATGGGATACCAGAGAATTATCTTATTCAGTTCAATACTAGGAACTATAAAAATTATTTCTTAAGGTTAGAAAGTAGCCATTGTATAACGAAAGCATTACTTTTATAGACCTAGCGACAGCAGAGATTATATAGTCTGATTTTTATAAGCTGATTGGTCAACTGCATCCCAAGCATCTCAGTCGATGAAGGTTCATAACCTCGTCAACTAATTTAACTCTAATCCCTAAAACTCTACATCTGACTTCTGCATCACTCACGTGGTGACACCACGGAATAAAGCCTATACTACGAAGGCAACGGTGGTCAAACACCTGAAGCCTTCCCATGTCTTCCACTTTCAAAGGCCATATTTTACAGCCATACAGTAGAACAGACCGGACTACTGTGCAGTACACGCAACCCTTAATAGACAGTCGGATATCATGGCGGTGCCATAGGTGGCGTAAGCTGGCAAAAGCCAACCGACCCCTTTCTTATCCGTGCAGAGATCTCAACGGCCACTGAGCCACCAGGGCTGATCTTACTTCCCAGGTAAGTGAAGTGGTCGACACAGTCAACCATTACCTTCTCTATTGTTAGCCACAGTAGGGCACCGTTGAAGACCAATCCTGGAGCAATAATCTCCATTTCGGTGGTGAGAAACGCATCCCAAACATTCTCAAATTCCCACTCAAAGTGTTCAGAAGTCTCTGCATCTTGTCAGTCTTCACCTAACAGGACTATGTCATGTCATCTGCATATTCTAGGTCTAACGAAAATTCTCCTGCGATCAGGTCAACCTCTGTGTAATCAGATGACGAGAGGGAGACCTCTATAAGAATATCTATGATAAAACTGAATAAGAATGGAGGGAGTGGGCATCCTTAACGGACACCACTCGATGAGTATAGCTGCCTGGAAAACTCACCATAGGCTTTAACATACCCACAAGTGTTCGAGTAGAGAGCCTTCAATACGATGATGTACTTACTCGGCACACCTTTCACTGACAGACATTGCCATAAGACTTATCAATCAACGCAGTCGGATGCAACCTTCAGGTCGAGTAATACACCTAGTGTTGGGCATCGGTAAGCGTGCCTATGTCCCACGACTTAGCGCAGTGTGAATATTTAGTCGATACACCCGCAGCCCGGTCAAAGCCTGCTTGGTTTTCTCGGGCATACTTTTCCCGAGCCCCACTCAGGGGTCGGAGAATTATAGAACCTAGTATTTTGGACACTATGTTTGTCAGGTTGATTCCTTTGTAGTTATCACAAGAGGACTTCTTGCCTTTCTTGAAGACTGGGATAATCAGTGACTTTGACCAGTCAGAGGGGATCGTATTTGATTCCCATATAGTAGCTAACACTTCCGTTAACCTGGCTAACAGCACTGCACCACCATTCTTGTATACCTCAGGAGTCAGTTCGTCTGGTCCTGCTGCCTTTCCTCGTTTCAAGCTACCTGCTGCTTTCTCGACTTCTGCAAGTATTGGGAGGCCTATCTCAATGTTTCATTCAGGATCCAACTGGATAGCAGACAACACAATGGTGGCTGGAGGCCAGTTAAACTGTTCCTCGAAGTGTTCTGCCCATCGTTGAAGTTGTTCTCCATGCGAGTGAATCACAGACTCATCGTTCTCCACTATGGCCTCACTAACTGTTGTTGACCTTTTCCCCAGTCTCCTTAATAATCTAAATAACTGTCTACTATTACAGATCGCCACTGCCTTTTCCATCTGTTTAGTCTTCGCTGCCCACCACTGTTCGCGATCGTTGCGTAGACTTTTTCTCAATCTACTTTCTAGTTGCGCTCGCTCTTCATTGTACTCAGAGCCTGCAGGGATGCGTTCATGTGCATCCATTAGTTCGGAAGAAGCTGCTGATATTCACTGGCTCTTTTTAGCCTTTCTTTTGGAGTCGGTTACAGTCTTCAGCGCTGCTTCTACAGCAGACTGGAGATGGCACCAAGCATCTGGATGAGTCATAGTCTTTTGTTCCGATTACTACCTAGTCAACTTCTCACTGAACACAGCTTTGGTGTTTTCGTTGTCCAGCAGTACTCGTAGTGGTTTTGTTGCCAAATTTTTTCCACGTCCATTGAAACACAGGTATATACGTGCTCGGACCAACGCGTGATCGTTGTCCAAATACGTACTCCAGAAGGAGTGGCAGTCTTCCACCGATCCTCTCCAGCGATGACTAATAGCAATGTGGTCTATGTGTCCATCACTGAGTTGAGCTCGGTGGACGCCACGTCAGACAGTATCTTTCTTGATGTCCGAAATTTGTGCTAGCTAAAAATAGGTGGTTAGTTGAGCATGGTTGTAATAGGCGATCACCGTTATCTGTACGTTCAGCTGGGATTCCGAAAGTATCACCTAAGTGAATTTCTGCCTCACTCAGTCTATCCACCCGTGCGTTGAAGTCACCTGCAACAACCACCACGTCCGAGTGTTTGGCTTTCGAGAGGAGGTTAGGCAGTTTATGGTAGAACTCGTCCTTCACTTCATCCGAGCTGCAGTCAGTGGGTGCGTATGTAGATATTACAAAGAGACAGTGGCGAGTCTCACTATTCCTTTTAGTTCTCACTGTGCTGTTCAGTTGGGTAGTGTAGAGGTGACTATCAACTGGGATCCAGTCTAGTAGTGAGTTTTATACCCTAATGCCTAATACTATGCCTACACCTACAAGACCATGAGAACTAGCTATCGAATCTCCAGAAACTGGAAAGGTGAATTTTGCGGATCCATCAGATTGGTCGAGAGAGGTCAGGTGGATAACCGCACTTGAGTCCCGTATGCATGCCTCACAAACATAGCACACATTCATGGCCCGAGTTGCTAGAGTCTTTGCCAACGAATCTTGTTGACCGAATTGATGGAGGGTGAGGACAGTGAAGGCTGCAATATGTAATTTGGAGCGTGGTTTAAGGAGACTAGGGATGCTTTTTTGTGAACTCAGATGGTTGTTGAAGGCTACAGAGATAGGAGAAATTAAAGGTGATATAGTATTGCTAATTCGGGGTCGTGAAGGAAGATTAGAAGGTAATGATGGGTTAGGTGGGTAGCAATCTGAGGAAACGTGAGCGCTGACAGATTTGTGAGGGCAGTTGACACTTCCCGGCTGCTCACACCGTGGAAGGCTATTTGTTCTTAAGTTACCTGAAAGAGATTTGTGTAACCACAGAGCCCATCAGACATCTACTTGAGGCCTGTCACACGAAGCCTTTTGTGTATGATTATTTTGAACTTTTGTATTTTTGGGGCCGGATGGTCGAAAAGAAACGAGAAATGAATCAACATCACTGGTGCATGGTGGAGTGTGTTATTTTTGGGGCCGACCTTTTCTAACCCCCCCCCTCCACTTCCACTGAGAAGGCAGCATCAGCATGACACTGCAGGTCATCCAAGGGAAACATCCTACTACTATCACACCCCATCCAGGTGGCAGCAGTACGACTTCGCCCTCAGACCCCCATCACAGTGTAGTAATTTACACCATATCGGTAACTACTTTTCGTTTAACCACTATCCAACAGACGTTTCTGGTATGGTAGGACCTCGAGTGAACAAGTGTTCCACCAGCATAGCTCGTTGGGTCATTGTGATATGCAAGCCCGACCACCACATCAAGATAGCAGCTATAGATGGATATATATATATATGAAGCTAGGTACACAGGTCATACGCAAAGGTAGGTTTCTAGCATCCACACCAACACCTTCCAACATGCTCCAGTTAAAGTAAAGCAGATCAACCAATAGCTCAATATTAAAACATTTGGTTGACACTAGAAACAGTTTCAGGAGATTCGTCTTCACTAATCTACAAAGTCCAGTGTAATCTTCAAAAGTATATGCGAAAACATTCACTTTGCATTGTTAAGGCTTTGGTAATACAGCAACAGAAACAGGAATTGTGTATACGGAAGCTACATGGCTATTTTCTGTGTGCTTATTCACTTCTCAGTTCTAAGACTTTCCAGTTCATATTTCTTATATTGTTTCCAAACCACAAACTATTAGCCATTATTGATTAACAAATATAGACATTTTTATTCACTATAAGTATATTTGAATATCATAGCGCGGCTGCAGAGGATGATATCAAGGAAAACAAATTTGTTCGCTTAAATCTTCATTCTTTTAAAACTCGAAAATGGTCATGTATCCAATCTGTTGAGAAGCTCTGGAATGGAACAAAAAATTCGGTTGGCTACTTGAAGTGAAGTAATTTGTTCTTCCCTAAGAAGTACATACTATAAAAATATTCACATTTAATTTTTGTAATTACTTACAAATTATTAATTAGATTGAGATAAGTTTGGTTGGTAGAAATTCGCATATTATATGAAGACTAATGAAGTTGGCAGGAGATGTGGTGTCATAAAGTAAAGGCAATTGCACACACTGAACAATACGACATTTAGATAAAATACTCAAACGTCCAACCAGAAATGAAACTAAGCCAGATGTTAGGTTAAGTGAAGACAGGAGTAAGACAAAGCTGCAACTCACTATCACCCATGATCCTCTCTCCTCATTGTGGTGGACTGGATCATGTAGAAAACCGTGACGAGTGAGAAGATGGGCACACCCTGGATGACTGGACCGATGAAAAGACCCAAAAAGAAGATTCAGATTTCGCCCATCTTCATGATGATGATGATGATGAAGATTTATGTCTAATGCCTTGTCGCACAAACTCGAAGATGTACAGGCGAAAACTAACAAGTTGACAGAAGAGGCGAGGCGAGGTGAGGCGAGGCGAGGTGAGGCGAGGCAGCGAAGACGGCACTTCCTTCAAGTGAACGTAGAGAAGATAGAGGTAGAGGTAATGAGGATACCCAACGAACAATGGCATCAGCAACAAGAGGCACCAATCACCATATACGGGAGAGAGCTGAAGGAAGTAGTTTCTTTCACATACCCTGACAAGGCAGCATCGTCTCAACTACAGGTGGCGGTGGCACAGGCACAGACGAGGATGTGAAAAGCAGAATCGGGAAAGCAAGACAGGTCTTCATTATTTTAAATCAGTGTGGAGATCTACTGCACTGCACTCAGTATAAAGCGTGAACAACATCCTGATTTTCAACACTAATGTCAGTCAAGTAAGTCAGTGCTTCTATGTGAGAGATAGTTGAGAGATGTGGTGCGTCACGAAAAGCACTTCCAACAAACTACAGACATTCATCAACAGCTGCCGTCTACGCTCTCTCACTCGATACTGGAGATGAGATGAAAAGGCGAGAGAGAATAGGCAACAAGGAACTCTGCCCGACTGGCAACGAACCAACCATGAACCTATTAGCCAATAAATATGCATAGGAAGAGAGTGGAGATGGATTGGATTGGGCATACACTGAGAAGACCGGTTGGGGATAGTACGCGTCAGGCCGAACAGGCCAGGCCATGCCAAGCCAGTCAGTCGAGTGGAACCCTTGTGGCGGGGAAACGACGAGTTGGGTATCCGAGGTGAGGGTGATATGGAGGAGATCATGTGAGTAAGAGATGGAAGTTTATGGGTAGTGGTGGAGCCATGTTGAAAGACTGTAGAGAAGAGAGTGCAATGGAGGTGTGCTATTGAATTTCTATTTTCCACTAGGGACCCAAGAGAAAAATAATAATAATAAATAGATGTAAGGTATTGTTTTTCAGTTGGCATGTAATAGGTATGGCCTTTCTTTTTAGTTTCGTTGCTATCCTGATTTCATTTCAAATTCACTTCTCACCTCTGAAAAATTAAACTTGTCGATCATAATTTGCAGCTGATATATTTGTAAACATTAAACAATTTCTTTGTTCCTTTCTGCTAATTTATGATTAAAACTGTGTTTTGATAGTAATGGTAGATGGTGGCTAGCACTGGAATTCAGGATGCGCGTTTTGGGTGTATGCACCTACCATTCAGTTTTTTTCCATTCAGATTCGAACCCTGGACCGATTACTACAAACCACAGATCATCATCCTCAAGGCCAGTTTGGGACGCTGCCCACTCCATATGAGAAGGGTGTAATTGTTGTCTTTATAAGTTTCTATTGGCTTATAGGCTTCTACGGCCTCCCACAGGGAATCTCTAAGTATCCGCCTGGGAGTCCATAGGCCAGTAGAAACCAGCCAATTCGGTCGAATCAACGATGGGGAATTATAATAAAACTTCATTCTGTTCAAAAATATTTTAGGAAATATTCCTTTTCTAGTAATGATGGATAGTGGCTAGCAGTGGAATCCAGGATACAAGCAATGAAACTATAACATTCCTTTTCTGTTGCCATATAAATATGATATTTATTTGCGATTGTACAGTTTGAGAATGATATCACCGAAAAGACTGACTATTCGCTAAACGTTCAATGTTTTATGACTTGCATATTTATCCAGTATAACTAATGACATGGGTAGTTATTTTTTAACTTCATAAAAAAGTACAAAACATTGAAGGTAAAATAGCCCAGTTTATGTATTAATTATGTAACACGTGATAAATAATATCACTGGTTTAGCTGCAGTGTTTTCTAATATCACTTATCACAATAAGATGCAATTATATTGTATATTTACATGCACATAGGTTTACATGTTTATTGAATACTAATCGTATGTAAAAAGTGGTGATTCGATCATATGACTTCAACTCACAAAAAATCTACACGATTAATGTTTGTCGTTTTTCATACCAGAGATGGAACACTTCGGCTATGTATTATACTAAGAAATAATAATCTGTGAAACATAAACTAATGAAACGGAAATCGGTAGTGGCTTTATTCTGTATGATCCGTTATCAGTTTTGATTTTTAACACCCAATTTAGTAAGTAGTATTCATCACGGACTGATATGCGTTGCAGAACTATTGAAACTTGAGAGACAGTTGTTTCGTCCTAGTATGAAATTCCTCTGCAGTATGCAGTGGCGACGCTAACAAGGATCGGACTGAGAGTCTTCGGGTCTCTTGGTGAGCACGTATAGTGCTCAATAATGACATGCCTTGAGATGGTTATCTGGAAGTTCTTATGAGGCGTGACCAGTGAAGTCAACCTGTTGAAAGTGAAACAAATGCCAACCGAAGACCTTGAGGATAGTAGCACTTTATCACGAACTGATAAAAATAGGAATCTTTAGGCGATTGAACTTCAGCTCAGTGACTGAATGGTAAACGCGTTCACCGTGAAACCTGAAAGTCCTAAGTTGGATCCATAGTGGAGTTGTCACTGTGTACCACTGAGAATTTTCATACTGGAGCAACACCTCTCCAACGTTGCAAAGTTTTCAATGGTTCTCCAAGTGAAGTCAGTCCTTAAACTAAATAAAATCCCGATAAAGTAAGGATCTATTGATATTTAATCCTACTTAAGACTGCTGTTAATCGTATGAATACTGAGCACAGAGTAGTATAATTTGGAAATTTCTGTATAGGTTGTTTAACTGTTATCAAATTGCACTCCGTCATCTGTTTTGTTTAATGTCAAAATCACTTATGAACCAATGTTCATTTAAAAAGAAACATGATTTTCGATATCTCACTTAAGGCGGACTGAAAAAGTCTTTTTTAATAGGATTCAAAATTGATAGTTTTTTGTGAGAGTTACTGGTAATTACTTACCCAACCAACAACAATAAGCTTTGATCACAATCAACAAAACAAACCTAAAGGAAATAACCTATTTCACCTATCTAGGAAGCACTGTCTCAACTACAGGCGATGCAGGCACAGACGAGGACGTCAAAGCCAGCCAGGATAGGAAAGAAAACAACAAGACAGGCCCTCTTTCATTAACCTGAAATCAGTGTGCAGATCTTCTGCACTCCACTCAGCATAAAGCGTCAACAACATCCGGATTCTCATCAACATTACTATCAGTCAAGTCAGTGCTTCTGTGTGGTGGTTGAGAGACTTGGTGCGTTACGAAAGGCATTTCCAACAAACTATAGACATTCATCAACAACTGCCCCCTATACTGGCTCGTTACTGAACATCAGATGACCAGAATAGTAAGAATAAGCAAGGAGAAACTGTGACTGGCGATGAACCAACGAAGCAAGAAGCTATCGCTGAACAAATATGCAGTTGAAGGAAGTGGAGATGGATTGGATTGTGCATACAGTGAGAAGGCCGACTGGGGACATCACGCGCCTCGTCAGGCCAGTTGGTCGAGTGGAACTGAGATGGGAAGCGACGAGTTGGTTGTCCGAGGTGAGGGTGATATGGAGGAGATGGTGTGTGAGGAAGAAATGAGAGGTTGTGGCAGTGGTGGAGGCAGGTTCGAAAGATTTCAGAGAAGTGAGTGTGAAGGAGACGTACTACTGAAGTCCTATGTTACATTAGGAACCCAAGGGATAAATAATAATAATAATATCTTTAATTTCTTTGGCTGTTCATCTAAAACTCCTCTTTGAGAGGATTCTATTATGAAGCTTGACGTATATTTGTATCAAGATTGTATGGGGGAGTTTTGTTTTACTCAATTAATAAAGTTTCATTTCTGTAGCATGCATAGTTTACGTAGTATATTGAAGAATGTGGGGTTAGCATTTTTAGATAAAACTTTCATTTTAATAGTGCTTAATATTATAATTGCAATATAATCCATATAACTAATATTCATCTTGTTCTTCGGAAATTGTTCTTTATTTTGTTAGGTCAGCTGTCTAAGCAAATTAATGCTGCTTATGTTCGTAGCAGTCGACTTCAGGAAACTGGATTCATGTTATCACCAAGAGTAATACGAAAAGCTACAATAAAGCTTTCACCATCAGTTAACTGTCTTCTTAAAAGCAGTCATTCCTCACTATTCACAGATGATTCAGTCAATCAAAATCGTGAACAAACCATCAACAGGTGGGGTGATGAATCACATCAGGTAAGAAATTATTTTCACTGTTGTGAAATGACTCTGAATGGGTGATATACTGTGACTGCTGTTGAACTACTCAATCAATATTTCCACAAACCTAATGCAAGAAAGAGAAGTTGATATTTAATCTGTTTGATTCGATTATACCAGCAGTTTCGTCCTCACCGTTAATGATTAAATACACTGTCAGGTGTTTGAACCCAAATGTTGACTGAATATAATGCACAAGTTTAATCTATGTGTTCAAATTATTTATTGATATATGAATGATGAACAGTGGCTAGCAGTGGGATTCAAGACGCACATTTCATCCAACTTAGGACTTGTCAGCTGGACATACGTATTTCCCAGTGAGTGATATCGTCGCTACCAAGACTCTAATCCGGGATGGATCACTTTATACGCTAGAGCGTTATCCATCAGGCTACTGGAGTACGACAGCCACTATTTCTTGCAACAGGTTTAGTGTAGTTATGATATAACTCCTTGTGAATCTCCGTCGGTGATTGGACTGAACTGATTAGCCACTTAGTGTCATATGGGCTCTAAAGCGGATACCTTGATACTACAGGTATTTTCAGTTTTGACATAGTTAGAGGTGCACCGTCTTTTACAGCCATTTCCACATTTATTTATTAGCATATGGAAGTCATAATTCATTATAAGCAATCCAAATCAGGTTGACTGGTTGGTTGTTACAAAATTATCACGTGACAGTGCCTACCATCTTTTCTATGTAATGTATCAAAACAACCAACCATTAATACTGAAGTCAATCATTTTGCCCTGATCCATATAAAAATAAAGCTTACATAAGTAGTTTAAATGATTTTTAAGTTGACTGAATTTTATGGGGAATTTGTTGTTGCAATACTTGTTTTGCTTGTTTAAATAAACAACACGTTGTTATACCACTGAGATACAGTAGGACGTTCATAATTGTAGTCCATTTCAAGAATTCCTTTGTTTTTCCCAGTGTTTTAATATATTATTATGATTGATTTGGTTATGGAGAACAGCGGAATCAAGGACACGCTTGTCTTATCATTCGGGACTGGTAGGCTAGATGTGCCTAAACCTCAGTGAGTGATACTGTCTTCACTGAAACTCAGACCTTGTACCAATTCCTTCAAATGCTAAAGCGTTATCCACTGAGGCACGTTAGCCACCTTCTGTATGAAGGATATTGGTCATTATTATTTGTTAACACTGTTGTTATGGGACAAATATGCGTCCTGGTTTGCACTACTAGCCACAACTAAGTCAACTATTATAATAAACATTCAGACAATATTGAAGCATTCGCATACGAACCCATATGCCAACAGAGATCGATCAATTTGATCCAGTGTAACAAAGGAGAATTACAAGTATATCAACAAGTAGTAATAACTTTAGTGCATTATTGAAGAAAGTAACACAAAAAATCCTGTATTGATTTCCACAGCAGAATGGCTTATCTCCTTCCTCTCGATCACCCACCTTCTTAGACAGTTACTGTAACATTTGATCTCTTTTTCCTATCTCCTCATTTGAAGTCCATTGACTCAGGTCTAATGGAGGGGGAAATACAGATATTTAGATGCAAATGTGTAGATAAATCTCGAGTCAAGCATATACCAGAGGATTCAGGTTTGATTTTAGTTTGACAAGAAATAATGACTGAATAATCTGTTACTTGCCTATTATTAATACATATGCTACTGTTAAATGTACTTTAATGATTAAATGACCTCCAAGAAACAAATTAGTAACTTCACGGTCCCGTGATTAACCAACCAACTGACTTATTTAAAGATTTGACCCAGTAACCGATCTTCCATCATTGGCAATGACAAGATCTCTATTGAAAGTCTCCAATCAAAATGACACACTAATATAGAAGAAAGCGAACAGCAAATACTTTTAGTCAGCATGAACAGTATTAAAGCACTCGTAATTACAAGCGGTGAATTATTTCATTAAGCTTGAAATCAATAAGTAAATCCCCATAAACCTTCAAAATGAAATTACTGTTCAGTGCTCATTAGTGACTTCCTTCGAGATGAGGTTTCCTGAGGTTCTGACGAGAAGTGACTGCCGGGAGTGGCAGTTACTCAACGGCTTCACTGGATAGAGTTCATGCTATATCGTTAACTGACAAAAGTAGGAAATATGGATCATTCGATGCCAACGCAATGACTCACTGGTAACGTGCTGGCCGCGGAACCTGAAGGTCCTGGGTGTGCAGTACTGAGGATTCCTACACTAAGACGAGACAGCTGTCCAGTGCTCCCAGGTTTTTTAATAGTTTTCCAACTGATATTAACCTATGATAATAAATAAATCCCTGCAAACCTCTGGACTCCAATTAGAATAATTATTTTATTATTTGTCCCTTGGGTTCCTAGTGGAACATAGGGCCTCAGTAGCACGCTTCCATCCCACTCTCTTCTCTGCACTCTTTTGAACCTGGCTTCATGATTGCCCACAAGCGTTCATTTCTTCCTCACACAATCTCCTCCATGTCACTGTTGGACGCCCAACTTGTCGTTTCCCCTTTGGATTCCACTCGACTGCCTGGCCTGACGCATGCTGTTCCCGAATGGCTTTCACAGTGTATGCCCAATAATATGAATATTTATTCTGGATCAGAATCATTCTAAACCCCAAGTTTTCTTGAGCAGATGCCACAGATCAATAACTCTGGACTAATAACCTTTTAAACATTTCATTGTATACATTATGAGATAGTGTTACTAATTTATTATCAAGTTAAGCAGTTGTTCTAACAAATACGTTTTACTATGAATTATTTAAGGTACATAAAACAATGACAAGAGCAGTTAGTTTCCCTTATTTTCATCACTTTTTGGTGCAAACCTGACTGTGGATACATATAAATTTAAAATATACACTTAGTTGTTAACCTCTTGAAAGTTTACTTATATACAAAGAGAGCAAAGAATGAAATGTCCAGAGAATAAATAACTGAAATCGTCATGTTTGGTACACTGAAACTGTTATACAAAGGAATGCGAAGCGTTGGTCATGGGAAGAAACGACAGTCGGTTCGCTGACCTGGCTCTTAATCAGATTAGTTAAGTAGGTCAAATGACGGAAGTTGATGGTTTCAGCAATAAAGAAAAACATGTATTCCATGTTTTCGCTTTCCTGGAGTCTCTGATCTTTACAACAAAATTGTTTTACTAGCAGGAAGTTTGCTGGACACTTCAGTTGAAAAACATAGAAGGGTTTCTTTCACAGTTTCCCTGCAAAATGTATACTGTTTAAAACTACGTTCGATAAATATCAGTAGTTAGAGACTATCTACATGGTTAGTCTCGGTAGGCTGACAAAAACACCGGAAAACGTTGCTTTTACGTCCACTCATAGATTTTCTATGATATATATATATATATATATATATATATATATATATATATTTAAGTTATCCATAATGGAAGGCTCAGTGATGCCTTTGAAGTGAAGACAGGAGTAAGACAAAGCTGCAACTCACTATCACCCATGATCCTCTCTCCTCATTGTGGTGGACTGGATCATGTAGAAAACCGTGACGAGTGAGAAGATGGGCACACCCTGGATGACTGGACCGATGAAAAGACCCAAAAAGAAGATTCAGATTTCGCCCATCTTCATGATGATGATGATGATGAAGATTTATGTCTAATGCCTTGTCGCACAAACTCGAAGATGTACAGGCGAAAACTAACAAGTTGACAGAAGAGGCGAGGCGAGGTGAGGCGAGGCAGCGAAGACGGCACTTCCTTCAAGTGAACGTAGAGAAGATAGAGGTAGAGGTAATGAGGATACCCAACGAACAATGGCATCAGCAACAAGAGGCACCAATCACCATATACGGGAGAGAGCTGAAGGAAGTAGTTTCTTTCACATACCCTGACAAGGCAGCATCGTCTCAACTACAGGTGGCGGTGGCACAGGCACAGACGAGGATGTGAAAAGCAGAATCGGGAAAGCAAGACAGGTCTTCATTATTTTAAATCAGTGTGGAGATCTACTGCACTGCACTCAGTATAAAGCGTGAACAACATCCTGATTTTCAACACTAATGTCAGTCAAGTAAGTCAGTGCTTCTATGTGAGAGATAGTTGAGAGATGTGGTGCGTCACGAAAAGCACTTCCAACAAACTACAGACATTCATCAACAGCTGCCGTCTACGCTCTCTCACTCGATACTGAAGATGAGATGAGAAGGCGAGAAAGAACAGGCAACAAGGAACTCTGCCCGACTGGCAACGAACCAACCATGAACCTATTAGCCAATAAATATGCATAGGAAGAGAGTGGAGATGGATTGGATTGGGCATACACTGAGAAGACCGGTTGGGGATAGTACGCGTCAGGCCGAACAGGCCAGGCCATGCCAAGCCAGTCAGTCGAGTGGAACCCTTGTGGCGGGGAAACGACGAGTTGGGTATCCGAGGTGAGGGTGATATGGAGGAGATCATGTGAGTAAGAGATGGAAGTTTATGGGTAGTGGTGGAGCCATGTTGAAAAGACTGTATATATATATATATATATATATATATATATATATATATATATATATATATATATATATATATATATATATATATATAATTATCCTTGAATCCAATTGATTTCCTAAGCCTGGAAAGTTTTTTTCTTAAATATTTTTTTACAGACTTCAAAGGTTTCAAGAAATCCTAATTCTTCATTAAAAGATAACGAAAATGAAATCCTAAAGTCGACAAGTTCAGTTAGAAAAGTGCCGAATGAAAATGGGATTTTACAAAAACTAAACAAATCTCTACCCTTATCATTTAGATCAAGATTTAAAACTAATTTAATACAATTCAATAATGAATTATGTACATCTGCTTCTAGTCCATCACTGTGTGATACAGGGATGTTTATACGTCAGACAGAAAAGGCAGGAACACCACAGCCGCCTACAACTACAACAGTACTAACGAGTATGTCAACAGCGACGTTATCATCTTTACTTTCAACAGGTTTAACAAACACCAATCAACTGTTAACAAATAATTCAGATAACCTTACAACAACTTCTGCTACTCACATAACCAATCATATGGCTTTCCAAAACTATACACAAGACATTTTCAATCCTTACAATTGTACAGATATACAAAAAGCTATTTCATGGCTTGAAGTTGAATTGAATGCAGTGAAAAATATTATGTTAGCTAACATAAATTGTGCAAATGAGAATAAACGAAATAGAGCATCTCGAAAAGCCTATAAATTAGCAGCTAAACGTAACCAAGAAACTGTAGGTTTATCAATAAATCACATTATATACGCATCATTTACTTTTGTATACATGTAGTTTATTTTTTCCGAGTACTGTTTACCATACTACTAAAGTGTTCTATTCACCGATTGGAAATGAAACTCAACAGGACAAATCACCAGGATAGACTTAACTTTCTTTTTTATTCTTTTAAAAGTGCAGTAGTTAAGTGGTATTTGTTAGATGATACGGTATGAATTGAATTGGAAACTTATTCGGTGACTTTGTACGGTTACATCATACTTCTTAGATGAGGGCTAATGATTTTACAGGACTGATTAAAATCCAGTAGGTGGAACGGTATTCAGACTCATAATCTTCTGGTTGAAATTCAGCTGCCTTAACCAATAAACCACAGCTACACATGCTGCAGTTTTAAGGCTATTTTTAAAAGCATACTACTTCGCTACTAATCCTGAATTGCTAAATGTCACTTGTTTGGATTTCGAATGATAACCAATCTAATTTTTTTACGATAGTGTCCTTGTTTCAAACACTATAAAGGTTATGAAAATTATACAAGCAAAGAACTCATAAAGGGCATACTGGATGCCTATCAGATACCGACGTCTGTGTCTTTTATTATTTATTCAAAAATGCTTATACTTCATGAAAGCTTATTAATATTATCAGGACGTAAACATATTACATCACAGACACCAAGAAATGCACCACTCAAAATAATATAACACTATCTTGAAGACATAAAGTGAATGGAAGCTGATAAAAAGATACAATCAAAACAAAACATTCATTACTTTTCAGAAGTAGAAGATTGAAGGAGGCTACAAAATGACAGCCATTGGCTTCTATTCTGAGCCATATATGACGTCTCAACCCATTGAGTTTTGTTATCTCTCGGACTCCATACAGGGAGTCATGAGGTACCAACAGATGCTCACCCGATACAACTATCCTTCATACCACGGCGCCACATCATACAGTGGCCACCTCCCCCTTCCGCTTCTTCCTTCAGTCCCAGAACCAGCGAACAATGAACGGTTTGGAAGCCGTTGGAACGAGATGCGTAACACATGTCCACGCCACCAAAGCCAGTGTTTCCAGATGACTTCACTCGCTGAATGACAATCTCTTTCATGCCCAAACACACACTGTCGTACCTTAGAATCACTTATATAGTGTTGTCACCGGATACGGGCTATCCTACTGAGACGATGATAGTGGGACGCAGAGTCGTCGCACATCCTCAGCTCAAAGAGGCCAATTTTCACAGCTGTAGAGCAGAAATGCTTGCATCGAAGCGTTGTAAACCCAACCTTTTATGGTCAGGTCAATGTCGTGACGGCGCTAAAGGTGGCCCAAATTGTCATATGCGACTCCGGCTTTCGATATGCAGTTGGAAACTCAACCACTCATACCTCTACCAGCACTCATAACTACTCAGATACACTAACTTTTCTCCTACTTGCAGCGGCTCACTATCGACAGTGTGAGCGCAGGCATAGGTTCTTGCCAATCTGTGAAAGTGCTTTCCACTTCAATGATGAAAAGTACATACCATTCTTACAGATACTAATAGCCAACTGATTAAGTGTAACTTGAGTAGCCTGCATACTATCGCACAGTAAGACGATAACGTTCGCATATTCTAGGTCGAAAAGTCGTTCTCATAGACCCATCACGCACTTCATGCACAGCTGTCTCAAGAATTTCATCGTTGGCCAAGTTAAAGAGGGATGGAGAAATCAGGCAACCCTGCCAAACCCCACTACTGGTTTGGAACAATGGAGACAGATGGTGGTATACTCTCACTCTACCTTAGGTGTTATTATATCGGAAGGAGGACTTGAGTATGCCCAGGAAAGTTGGTTAATCACTTCGAAATCTTTGTATATCGTAAATTCATATTCTGAGTGAGGTCCGAGATACTGCTTGGTCACCCACGTTGAAGCAGGTGGTTATCTTAGGCGACCACTTCCCAAGCCTTCAACTTAAACTGTAATTCACAAGTCAGTGCAGCAACATCAGGAGCTACATTCTCATGCTGAACAATGACCAAAATAGGTTCCTACACCATTCGTACCTTCTGAAACCTGCAGCTCATGTGCACGATTGCTCTGGAATCATGGTTTTAAAGCTCTTCTGGGTGAACCCTCAGTATTCATCAACCTGGTGATAAGCACCGGGGACTCGCTCACCCCCTGTCACTTTTGTGAAAACACCCCTGCAACTTGAAGGTACTGAATAGGACTTCCCTGGCAGAGGCTGTGAACACGTAGCAGGGCATCTGGGTGGCCTTTATGAAAGTCACAGTGACTTACACTCATCCTCAGTTATGAGCCATTAAAAATGGTTAAAATGTTGGTAAACCTGGAAGACCGGTTTAGACAAATATACCTCCTTACGTAATGTAGAGGTCTTCCTAACTTAAGGCACTGTTGTAATTTATTCCTGCTGGTAAGATACGCATGCCTAACCGCTGCTTATTCTGACTTAAGGTGGTGGCCCTAGGAGCTTTGGTGTTAAACAAGAACAATTAGAATCCTTAGGATATGATATATCCTAACAATCCATGGAGTCATGATTATAAATCTTAGCTGTGTAAAGATATGTTGGTTTCTTAGTTTGAGTCATTGGAATGTCATACATTCATAGACAGAAACCCTAAATAGTATTTCAGATAAATTAACCACGTATTTTCCGCTAAAAACTGAACTACTTATGTTTGTTTGCTTATTTTCCACTTATTAGTTTTCCTTCCTGAATATCTTTCTTCGCTCGTTAATTTTCTCTCTCAAGGCCACCTGCAACTAGAAAATACGGCAAGTTTCTGTTACGCGTTCTGTAGTACTAACTTTTTCTAGTTAGTAAAATGATACTGCTTCGAAATAAAATGTTTTCCCGAAGATGGCGATAATTACCTGGAGGGAAATTTTTATTATTATCATTTGTCCCTTGGGTTCCTAGTAGAATACAGGGCTTCAGTAGCACGTCTCCATCACACTCTCTTCTCTGAAATCTTTCGAACCTGCCTCCACCACTGCCACAACCTCTCATTTCTTCCTCACACACCATCTCCTCCATATCACCCTCACCTCGGACAACCAACTCGTCGCTTCCCATCTCAGTTCCACTCGACCAACTGGCCTGACGAGGCGCGTGATGTCCCCAGTCGGCCTTCTCACTGTATGCACAATCCAATCCATCTCCACTTCCTTCAACTGCATATTTGTTCAGCGATAGCTTCTTGCTTCGTTGGTTCATCGCCAGTCACAGTTTCTCCTTGCTTATTCTTATTATTCTGGCCATCTGAGCTTCAGTAATGAGCCAGTGTAGGGGACAGTTGTTGATTAATATCTGTAGTTTGTTGGAAATGCCTTCCGTAATGCACCAAGTCTCTCAACCACCACACAGAAGCACTGACTTGACTGATAGTAGTGTTGAGAATCCGGATGTTGTTGACACTTTATGCTGAGTGGAGTGCAGAAGATCTGCACACTGGTTTCAGGTTAATGAAAGAGGGCCTGTTTTGTTGTGTTTCTGATCCTGGCTGCTTTGACGTCCTCATCTGTGCCACCTGTAGTTGAGGCAGTGCTTCCTAGATAGGTGAAATAGGTTATTTCCTTTATGTTTCTTTTGTTGATGGTGATCAAAGCTTATTGTTGTTGGTTGGGTATCTTCATCACCTCCGTCTTCTCTATATTCACTTGAAGTCCTGTCTTCGCTGCCCTACCTCTTCTGTCAACTTGTTGATTTTCGCCTGTAGATCTTCCAGTTTGTGCGACATTAGACACAAATCATCGGCGAAATCCAAATCTTCTAGGTTCTTTTCCCGGTCCAGTGCATCCTCCTCTTCTCGCTCCTCACTGTTTATTGCACGGTCCATTCCACTAGAATAAGGAATATCATGGTTGATAGTTTCACTCCTATCTTCACTTCAAAGGCGTCACTGAGATATCCATTGTGAATCACTTGGCATGTGGCTTCTTCATATAGTTGTTGAATGAGATTGATAAAGGTTTGTTGTATTCCGTTGTGTTGAAGCAGTTGCCTGCCAAATTACTTCTCGGTCGACGCTGTCGAAGACCTTATCAAAGTCGATGAAGTTGAGATGCAGGTACAGTTGACTGCCATTCTGTACTCTGTTCTATGATGATGCGTAGTGTAGCGCTGCAATTTGGTACGCACATGATTTGTACTTCCTGAAGCCTGCCTGTTCCGGTGGTAGTTTTGAATCCAGCGCATCCTTTAGCGTCTCCAGGATGATGCGGCATAATATTTTGCTTGCTTTGTGTGGACAGCAACATGATTCTGCGCCAGTTCTTGCAAAGACTTAGGTCTCCCTTTTTGGAAGTTTGACAAGGTAGCCCTCCTTTCAGTCAATCAGCAGGTACCTTCCATTCCTTCCTCCCAGACCTTCTGCAGTAGTGGTGTGGTGTGAACATGTCCGCTGTTGTCTCTGCGTCTGCTCTCAGTGCTTCTGGTGGGATTCCATCTGGTCCTGCTGCTTTCCCGCATCTCAGTAGCTTTATGGCGTTCAGGACTTCTACCTAGGTCGGAGGGTTTGTGTTCACTTGTAGTTCTGTGGCTGGGCTGCAGGTGGTATTTCTGGACGAAATACAGGTGGTGGTGGTGGTCGATTCGGCAGCTTCTTGAAGTGGTCGGCCCATCGTTTCCTTCTGTTTCTCTTCTTTGGTAATTAAATTTCCTTCATCACCTTTTATTGGTTTCATTTGTGTTGATCTCTTCAATGCTATATAGTAACATGGTTATTTGATATAGTGTTGTCAGGTCTCTCTCTCTCTCCTACCTGCAGCCTGTTCTGCTTCACTTGCCAGTGTGTCTTGGAAGCACAAATTTTTCCAAAGGGAATTTATTAGCAATTTTTATTGGTCGAAAATAACATCTGAAAAATATTGATAACTTTTCTTGGTAACTGACAACACCTGTTCTTATTTTCACTATGCACAAACAAAAGGATATCGCAAAGTTCAAATGCGAAGCGGTGACCTGTAGGATCAACCAGTCGAAAGGATAGCGGATGCCAACGGAAGACCTACGGTGATCGTCACACTGTATCGCGAACTGACAGAAGTTGGGAACTGTGAACTATTGACCTCTGACCTAGTGACTGAATGGTTAACACGTTCGCCGTGAAACATGAGTTCCATCCATGATGGGGTTGTGGATGTGTACTGCTGAGGAGTCCCATGTTAGAACGAAACAGCTGTCCAATGCTCCCAGGTTCTCAACAATTCACGAACTGATATCAGTTCGTGATGAATACTACCTTTAAATAATTAACTGACCTAATTAGAACTCATAAAATTTGTTCAATGGCGGTGAAACATGTGAACTTGACATTAATTTAATCACATATGGTGAAGTTCGAACTTCTCATCACTTATTTCAAAGTTCATTGTCATGAAATCGTATGATAAATATAATTTTGTGATATTTCAATGTTACATCTGAAATATAAAAGGTAAATCAATACATTTAATGAAATTAAAATCTAACCAGCAGCTAAGTCTCTCAGCTTAGTTGGTATATTACCAGGTCAGTATCCCGGAGGTTGCGGGTTCGAGTCTCGCCATGGTCTACAGTTCCATTTCATTTCCACTCATCACCCAATATCAATAAAATCAATGTTCCAGTTAATGGGTTTGTAGGGATTTTATTGGTTACTCAGTGGGGGGATCATAGGTGTGCACTGCTATGGATTCCCATACTGTGACAGGATAGTTGTCCAGTCCTCTTAGGTTCTCAAAGATTCTCCAACTGATGTCAGTCCATGAAGAATACCAATTTACAATCAGTATTTACCGAAAATAAATGACAACTGGATTCTATTTCAGAATACGAACTGTTTGTGTTTTAAATTTAATTTTTAGATAACTAGTCTTGAAAATCAAATCTGTAGCCTACAAATTTATGCTGAAAAGCAAAATAAATTATCTAATGACGCCAAATGTGAAAGTATATCAGTATATAATTCTGATCATTCAATGGGTCGATCGGCGCTCACAGTATCAACATCATCCTTATCTTCTCCTTCTTTTTCTTACTCCTCATCTTCCTCTCTGCTGAATAGTCTTGTGATGGTGAATGAACATGCATCAAGTGGTCAGTCACCGTTTGGAGTTCCACCAAAGACTAATATACGAAAAATATACAGTGGAAGATTTCCGTATTCACCTTCTAACAATATTTCGATCAAAAACGTGACGACCACCACCGCCACAGCAGCAATCACTCCTACCACTATAAATGCATCAATAACCCGAAAAAAATTTTTAACTTCTAGTTTTAATACGGAAAAACCTTCACAATTTAATACATTGCATAACAGTACTGCGAAGAATTCACCTGTTGCAATATCCCATAGTCAACTGAATACTATTGGTAAAATGAGTGAGAATAAAGAAAAGTTGACAAAATCCTCACATACACCTTTGGATCTAATTAAACGCAGAGAAAACAATATTTCACAAAACACTGGAGTCCCAGTTGAGCAAATAAATATCCAATCATGTGAAACAGATTTACCAGTCAAGAATAATGACACTAAAAGTGATAATGATGATGAATCAGAAATATATTATGAACATGAAAGAAACAGGTAATTGTGCATTTCAATAATATATTCAATATGAAATTTATGTGTTATTTTACTTGAAAACATAATACACTGCTAGTATCCATGATCGTATACACTTAGCATTGGTTGGCACTAATCACAAGTGTCTAGTAAAAGAGTATGCCCATTTGAGCTTGATACACATCCCATTCAGTGATGCACTTGGCGATCGGCGACCATTAAGCTATTCCAGCCATATCTAGCCTTTGAATATGTTTTATTGGGACGATTTGGTCTCTAGGCAGTAGTTGCTTTTCATGCTGAGAAATCAATGGCATCACCTTGATTATTGCCTGACTATCGCTTTATCCGTGCTTAATACATTGGAAAGTGGGTTTTATTGACTGACAAGTCATTTGGGGAAGAAAGTAATATCGGCGAGGAATTAAAAGTATCAAACAACAACTGATACTCCTTACACAAGAGGCGGCTCTCGTGCTTCATTGGCCCAGTGGATAAAGCTTGGAGGTTCGCAGGTATGAATACTTGGTTTGAGTCTCATTGAGGACAATATTACTCACTGGAGTATAACCATATCCAGCTGGCGGATGGGTCCCGAACGGAGTAAATGAGTGTCCTGAATTCCACTGCTTGTCACCAAGATGAGTACAGCATAAAGAAGTAATATATTTATAAATGCAGAGAAGAAGGTCATAACTACGAATAGTTACTTCAGTCCTAACACCTTAACGAATGGAGTCCTACCAACTATCTATGGTGGGAAATAACAAGTCGCTGATAACGAGTATCAGTAATATTCCAGAGATCGCATAACTTGTTTGTACTATTTTGAAGCTCTTGATAGCTATAATTTGGCATTGCACAGTAAATGACTTTAATTAGTTATTGCATCGGTTTCAATTCCAGTTCTAATGACTACATCACAACAATTGCAGCTGCATTTGTAAATGAATTAAGCAATCTAACAGAAGGTATTCCAAGTGCGAAGCTTTATTAGCTTCAGTGTTTTCTATCCACTAGTTTATCTTCTAATTTTCAACTGCACCAGCCATTTTACCTACCCATATGGACTGTAGAATACAGTTAATAGATCCACGACACTTCCCTTTAGTAGTTTCCTTTTACTCCGGTAACTGAAAGCAATAAATGGTATAGCTAATTTTCTCCCTATATTATAATATGAACTAGTGGATTGTTAGTCAGAAGTTGCATCTTTAGGCGTTGAAGGAAAATAGTAATCCAGATGATAATAAGCATAAGTAAAAGAAAATGTTACCGTCAACGCCCGTCTGAAAAAAGAAACTACCCTCTTGTTCGACTGTTTCTTTTATCCTGTTTTATCAGCCTGAACATGAAAACTGACATGTTGTTTGTCAGTGATGTGGTGATTTGTTTTAATTCACGTCTTAAGTCTCTAGAGATTTTCATAAGTACAACTTTTAGCATGCTAGTCTAGTCTGGTCTGTATTTATGGTTCACACTACTAACAGGGTGAGATAATGAGTCATATTTCATGCAAAATATTTAGATAGATGATAAATTAAAACAAGATACAAACGGCCGAACTGATTCGTCTTAAATTCTGATGTATCATAATTTTTTACTAAAATTATATTCATCATAAGAGAATTCATGACAAGGTTTTAAAGGGATGAGGGTAGCATAAACGATGTGTGTATACATACTGGTAAGTGCTTTACTGATCTACGCTTGTGATGTCTAAATTTTGACTAACCTATTCTAGTTAGTAAGAACTGACTAATCTAGATGAACAGTTGAAAATACTGCATCAAATGAATATAACGCAACTAAGGCTTTTTGTGAGGATTGATTGGTTTCAAAACTGGCTTTGTCCCATCATCTCCCCAAAAAACATGACCATCATAAATCATACTCACTCTTGATTGGCTTGGAACATGTAGACCACTGGATTTCAACTCAGTAGCTGAATGGTTACATGCTCTGCAGGAGATCTGACTGTTCTGGGCTCGACTCCTTGAGGATTCAAGGATAAGTACTGCTAAGGATTCCCAACTATGACGAAATAGCAGTCCAGTGGTTTCAGTCGTTCAATGGTTTTCCAGTTGATGTTACTGTATGGTAAGAATCACCTTCAAACAGTGTCCTAAAGAAATTCTAATAACATATATGGTATTAAATGATGATCGAAGAGTATGTAAGTTGAAGCTAGATTCGATTCACCAAACAAATGGTTGCAATTGATTCCTAGCTTCGAGATGTGATTCCCGAAGTTCTAATGGGAAGTCATAGCTGGTGGAGTAAACTAAGTCGGATATGAGAACAGATACTCAACGATAGTGTCGGCTGGAGGTTGCACTATATCATGAACTGACGTAAGTAGGAAATAAGGACCGCTGGACTCCGAACTAGTGGCTCAGTATTAACGTGTCGACCATGGAACTTGAAGGTCCTAGGTCCAATCCCTGGTGGGGTCATGGTTACCCGCTGCTGAGGCTTTCCGTACGACGACGGGACAACCTTCCAGTGCCTCCGGGTTTCCAATGTTCCCACAACTGGTGTCAGTCCACGATGAACATCAGCTTGAAATAAAATTGGAGCCAGGTGTTAACGAATTCTCAGTTTAACATGAAACACCAACTAATGTGCTTGATTATGTTAATAAGGAAATATACAACGACATTGAAATAAACATCCAAAATTGTTCATGTACTTTGTTCTTTTGTAGTTTCTACCAATGATTAGAAACGTTGCCTTTACAACCAAATTAACCTTATTTCAGTTACCTACTTCCAATGTGAATAGTGGAGTAGAAACATACTTGCAGATAAATGTATTCTTAGTCGACTAACCTATTCAAATAAGCATCTGTCGGACTGTATGTTTTTGAAAGTATTTTCTGTCATGGATAACCATTCAAAAATATGGGAGCACTGGAATGGAAGGAAAGGTTTTAAGCCAAAAATGTAACATAAACACGCTATCACTGGTGAAACAAATACATCTGAGATTATCACAGATAACATCCTCAGTAATACTAATGGGTAAATTGTTGTCTTAAAAGGCCTATACATATGCTTCATGCGGTTTGTAATTCATCACAGTATTATTACCGCTTTCCGTAATATAGACATTAAAGAATGCATAGTATCCCAGTATTCAGTCGACGCAATCACCCATCAGCAAATTCACACAACAAAATACTTCAAAACAATGTTTTTTCATGTTAAATCAATGCAATTATATGATCATTTTTATCGATAAAAAAGCTACACACCAACTGATTTAACCATCAGAACATGTATTCATTGTCTAATATATTTTAGCTTTTATAATAATTGATTCTTGAATGCGGATAATTCGATGAAGAGAAAAATGAAAATGAATTAGACAAATAAACTTGTTCTACTACAAGTGTAGTCAGTCACACTTAGTGTTGTTATTGACAGGAGTTTTTTCTTAGCCACAGAATCAATAACACTCCTTTCATCCAACTTATAACTTATCATCTTAATACACTTTTGAACAAATAAGTATTGATGCTAACACTGTTGATACTGCACAAGATGAATAAACTGAATGGAGAGTTTACTCACCATTTACCTGACTAACTCATAGTGAAGTACTCGATCAATATTTTATTGCATTTCTTTTGTGCATAAGGAGTGTATGCTATCATATAACTTGCTTAAAACTGGCTTGTTGAATACTTTAGACTGCTTACTTTCTTTTTATATTCCTGTGATTCAACGAAGCATACTTTAGAGTAGTAGTAACCATTACTCGTGATTACTGAAATCCTCTGGAATTGAAAAAGAACTGATGTTGTCATTATGGTATAGTCGTCGATAGACAGCATAATACTGGCTATGAAACATTTTTGCTCAAAGTTTAAGGCTCTTCAAAGACTAAGAACTACTGTTGTCTTATCATAACCACTTGCGTATGATGCAATCACTGTATGAATGACATGGAGGTTAGGAGAACGTTACTAGTTGAAGGAGATAAATTAGATGACCCAATGAAGTTTTCGCAGCATTTATTATACATGCCTAATAAACCTTCACCAAAACGCTTTGTGTTAGTTCAAGTGAGACTAGATTGATAGCAAGCTGTGAGTGACCAGATCAAGATATGACAGTACTCCTCAAAGTACTTGGTTACCGGTTTTCATCGTGTTGAGAAGCTTAAGCTTCATTGTTTTGTTGAAACCAAAACGAAATATAATTGGTGATCTCAGTTGTCGTTAGGCTGATCTTCAACGTCACCCGAAATTCTAGCTAATATTATCCGAAGCTTAAGTCAGTGGTTCAGGTTCAACGAAGCCTAACTTCATGCAGATGAGGTTGTTAACTTTCATCAACTAAGACGGCTTGGCCATATACTCTGCATGCCCAGTCACCGCCTTCTTTGACGTTCTATGCTATAGAAAGCTGGATTACGCCTGAAGAAGGCTCAGGATGACCAGACTAATGTATGGCATTAGTGCATGAAATCTCTGAGTGTTGATGTGAGCCATGTAGACCGACTCTGACTTCTTTGTCCGGCTCTACGTAGCAACCACAATAGAACAATGTAGATTCCAGCTGATATTATTCAGAATCTATCGCGGCGATATATGTGTATCCGTGCCTCATGTTCATTTTGATCATTATACTACATTCTGCTGTCTATTTTATTCCTTCTTCATTTCTTAATTTGTATATACCTGTGTTTCGTCTTGCTTTTAAAGATATCTATTGATATACTGTTGTGAGGTGTGGTAGCTTGGAGCATTAGGCAGAGTAGTGCTGGGTGTCCCGATAATACTGACCGACTGGTTTAAAGGACTTTTAAAAGAGACTTACAGTTAACAACAACCAATAGGCTTTTGTGCAGCTACTTCGCTCAACTCTCTACCGGTATATATATATATATATATATATATATATATATATGTTCATTCGTAAATGAAACTACAAGGCATATTATAACTACTAAAACTGTGTATATACGGCACAATAAGATCTACCGATGTAGTTCTTTATAACGATCCGATCTTT